GAACGGCCCAAGCCGACGATCCGCCGCGGCCATGCTTGTTTCTTCTCCCCGGTTTCTTCCTGGAGCTGCTGCTGCTGCCCTTGCCGCCCGCGGCGGCGGCTTCGAGGAGCTTCAGGGGCCCCGCGCGATCAAGCTGCCTCGCGACGGCGGCGGGGTCGCGGCCCCAGGCGTCCGGGGGGAAGTGGGAGGCGCCGGCGGAGAGAAGTAGGCGGACGCACTCGGTAGTCCCGTCGATGCAGGCTGTTGTGCGGTCGCGAGATTGGAGAGAGGCAGTGGGGAGCTTTAGGACAGGCGGGAGCACGAGAGGTGGAGGGGTGCAATGCTTCTGTACAAGCTGCTCGATTTGGTTGCCAATGCGGGAATGCACCCAACGGCCTGTGGGCGCACGCTTGGATGTGCCGTATAAGCTCGTTATCGTGCGTACGCGCTTTGTGCCCACGCACATGCTCTGGTCCGCAACGTCGTACTATTTTCGAATAAGAACGTCCGAAGGCCGCCATGCTTACGGGAGTAGTCGTATGTTTGAGGGCTTGATGAACCAGGGAAATGCAGAGCGTGACATATAAACCTTGAGGTCTCGTGAGACCTTTCTTGGAGACCCAAGGGAGAAGTGGCTGGAATCCGGCCGGAGGTGGGGAAATACCAGCCCCTCTATTACTACTACTGGGCGTTTTTCTCTATTTTTTCACGTTCCTTATAACAAAAAAAAAGCTGAAAACACATGTCTTCACCGCCATCACCAGCGCCATACATCAGCCTCCCAACCGCCTGAAGACATTCCCTCCCAAAAACACGGCAAAAAAAAAAGACACCGAAACTAAAAACGAAACGACAAAATCGTCGCCACGGTGGTTAGCTGCGAGTGCGGCACGATGCTCTCACCAAAGTGGAGGGGTGTCCTGGCGTCCTGGTCGGACACGTTCGGCGACGCGTCCGCCTGCAAGAGCTCCTTCACGCACTCCGGCGACCCGGCTTCACACGCGAAGTGCAACGGGGTACGCTGGAAGAAAAGGGGAAAGGAGGGGAGGGGTGGGTGGTCGGGACACAGCAAATACTGAACAACATTTGTAACAAAAGCCGGTAAGGAACACGGCCGCACCGTTTGCTACCCACACCGGCGCATGCGCGCGCACACATTCGCTCGTCAAGGGAATATACAAATATGCATGCCCCGGCTTGGCCGCCAGAGAGACTGAGCGGCAATCTATTTGCTGTCGGCGCGCCCACCCCCCGCTGTCTGCGTTTGCAACTGCTTCCCCTCCCGGACACACGTCTACACATCAGCCCCCTTCTGTCTTCTGCCAGCCAACGTAGTAGGCGCAAGCCATCGAGTTGTTGTTTTCCCATGCACAACCACCGCACAAACAGCCACACATACGCAGGAAACCGGGTTCGGGTGCTTTGCCTCGTCGTATGCATAATACCGACGTACTTTTCATCGGCGAGCCGGTCCACAAGGGTAGCGAAATTGAAACCAACGTATGTACACACAGGTACACTGTCTTCTTGCAAGTACTTCGAGTCGAGACTGGGCCCTGTGGTCCGACCTTTTCCGTGCCCCCGCTGCGGGGGGAGCCCAAAGAAAAACGTCTTGAAGATCGTTTGATCGCGCATTGTTAGTCTGGCATGCTTTGATTGGTCAGCCGGTAGGTGAGGTCAATGCTAACTCGAGAAACACGAATACACACCAAAAGACAGTCGTCTTGTCATTGATCAGCCGTTAGCACGATCGATGCAACCAAAGAAGCATACACACCCAAACACTGTCAGGGACCTTGATTTTACCCGTTCGCACTGACGTCTGTTCATTGGTCAGCCGGCGTTCGACATTAATCAACAAACACACTCACCAACCATGCGCAACGAGCACGTACGCACCTGATCATCCGCCCGCACGTTAGCGTCAGCCCCCAACGCCAGCAGCGCCGCTGCCGAATGCCACCTCCCCCTCATGCACGCCGAGTGCAGCGGTGTGTAGCCTCGTCGGGTGACGGAGGCCGGGGATGCGCCGCTACCGACCAGCAGGGAGATCACTGCCAGCCCATGGCCCGCGTGCGCGGCGCTGTGGAGCGCCGTCCACCCTTTCGTTTCCCACGGGGGGGCGGGGCGGTGTTAAACGTCGCATCATCGTCGAAAATCGGGGCGGGAGGGGGGGGCGAGGGCGTAGGAAACGAAGCGACAAGAGGTTAGCACCCCAAGGTCAGACACAAGAAGCGCCATATTGCTAAATACATGCGAAGCAAAACTTGTACTGCTCCCGCTGACGCTCTCTGCTTCTTGCCAACCCCCCGACATGGACCAATTGATGCAGGGACAAAGCTTAAGGTCAAATTCAGGACCAGGGAAATAGGCCTTCGAGAACGTCGACGAAGACATAGGACGGTAGACGAGGAAGACGACGAGTTCAAATGTGATTGCGGCTTCGAATGCGAAGACCGTGTTCATGTAGTCGCGGAATGTCCGTTGTACAAGAAGGAGAGGAAAGTGTACGTGACTGAGCTGGGAAAAATAGATGGGACGTACAGGGAGATGTTTGAGGCATGGAATAGAGAGGAGAGGACGGTAGCTGTACTGGGGCATAGAGGTGGGTTGAAAAGGCGGGGAGAGATATCGTTAGGATAGAAAAACTAGGGAAGACATTTTTCAGCCACCTTTGGCAAAGTAGGAAGGGACGATTGGCCATCGGTGATCGGTCCTGCGAAAACAATGCTCCGTCCTCTCGAGGACGCGTGGTCAATGGTCTAACCGCTNGAGGTGGGTTGAAAAGGCGGGGAGAGATATCGTTAGGATAGAAAAACTAGGGAAGACATTTTTCAGCCACCTTTGGCAAAGTAGGAAGGGACGATTGGCCATCGGTGATCGGTCCTGTGGGAACAATGCTNCGCGTGGTCAATGGTCTAACCGCTAAGGCATGCAAAACATAAGAGTACGCTACCCCCCCCCCCGACAATTCCCCTCCTCAATCACTCGCCCGCTACCTCCGTCTTACCGTCTCCATTGCAGGCGTGCACATCTCCTTCTCCTCCTGGCGTGAGAGCAGCCGCTAGCGCCGCCAAGTCCCCAACGGCGGCTTCGTCCCACAATCCCCTTCCCCTATTTCCGGCAGCCGGGGAGGCGCCGGCGTCTGACGCGAGGGTTCTCAGGGGAATGGTGTCCCCGTCTTCCTTTAATAATGATGTCTTCAGTCTTTGGCGGAATATAGACAAGAAAGAGCAATCGGAGGGGAAAGAGAGAAGGTAAGCCATAGCCCTCTCAAGGTACCATAGCTTTGACACGTGGTCTTCGGCTCTCTATCGCCACCATCGCTACGTACTTCAGTCAGCTGCCCACTGCCACCGCCAACGCACACCGGGAACTGAGACATCCCAAACAGCCAAGCGATTCATGGCTCTACCAGCGCGTAGAATACCTTAAGGGGGTCGACCCTAGACCGGGTAAAGGGTCATGTTGTTTGGCACCTTCCTTGTGGGTCATACACCCTTTTAGGGTTTATTCTTCATGTTTTCGAGTTGCTCACCCTTTCAGCCCGGAATAAGACTTCCCCACGGAAGAGACTCCGGCCGCGAGCGCATCGCGGACGACACCGACACCGGCATCAGCGGCGGCCGCGTTCGTCCTTCGTTGGTTGTTGGTTCAAAAACAGAGCAAGATAACAAAGACAACGGGGGAAGACGTGCCAACAAAAAACAGGTTATGTGCCAAAACCCGCCTTAGTCATGACGGGATGAACTATCGCAGGGTGTGCGTTGAGCGTGACGAATGCAGGACGGACCGTTACACTTGAATGCGGATTTACCCCTGTGGTGCAGGCGGCATCGTGATGTAGAAAAAATGCGTCCAGACAATCCAAATCCTCCTGAAAAACTTGTTGTCGGCCCTCTCTAAAAATGATGTCGCCGAGATTCTCTGGTCAAGGCCCTGGTCAGCGCTGGTGCTGCTCACACAGAGCGCGGCTTGCAAAAGCAGCTGGATGCTGGGAGCTTCTAGCATGTTCTATACGCGTATTGCGTATAGTGTGCACGCCGTTTTTCGCTTTTGAGGCGGAGAAACGCTGTGTCTTCACAAGGGGAAGTGCTGTTTCTTCCACGCCCGCCGCACAGCTCATAGCACAGAAAATCATGAGCCCGGTCTACATGGAAAGAGTTGAAAAATGTTCGCTGCATCACCACAACCGCAGTGGAGTACGAGGGCAGGTGGAAGGTAGCGTTGTGAGGGGGTGACGAAAATTGGATCCACGATGAACGACGGTTGCTCCAGCGATGATCTTGGGGACCGTAGCGCTGAGCAGGGTCTACCTCGGAGTTTGTCAAGGAGAATTTTTGAGGATCAGAGCTGTAGCGCTGTGGTTCATCTCGATAGAGCATCTAGCAGAGGTTGTTCCAAGGGTTGGGAGATTTTGGATCCCGACTGCAGCCCGAGGTGTCGAGAATGCTGTTTCTCATAGTGGGGCGGTGACAATGACCGGACCGCCTTCGCGACGAATTAAAGATGCTCAATCTAGGACCTAGACAGGGAGGTTTGGTATCCCTATCCCTAACCCCACCCCGTACTCCCTTCTAAAACCAAGCTTAACATCCTTGCGAAGGATACTTGAACTAACAAATTGCTGGGGGTCCATCACGACCGACTTGATACAGAATGTGCACTGGCTGTGATAAGAAAACAACCGATATAGACTGTGCTGTCTGGGGCCCTACATCTGCACCACGGGGGGATAGATGCGTAACGAGACATCTTAATGATATGTCCCAAAGGATGCTCTTGGCGTCAAGAAGTCAACCGGCGATCGTGGTTTCGTGTTTGTAGCGGTTCGCTGTGCGGAACCACAAGATAAGGCAAACTCTTCGTTTGTGAGGCATCGTGTGAGGCATCATGAACGACTGCTGTGCAGTGTTAGTGCTATGTTGTTAGATGCATATTCAATAACGGTTTCTTTGCACACGCTCATGCACTCCTGTGCGTTGCTGTTCGCTGTCACTACAATACAAACGCGGCAGTCGCGATGCACACAGCACACAAAGCTTTTCGCTCCGGCAATGTCGTGGTTTGTCCACCGAGGGAACGACTGCTCCTGCAGATAAGACAGACACCTCCACCGTACACGTTACATTCCCAATACCGCGCGCTCACCTGCTTCCACTCTCCCCGCTGAACCCTCGACCCGACCCCTCCCCATAATCTCCGCCTCGAAGGCTCCCTTCTTGTATGTCTCTCCACATCTCTTCTCCCCCTCTTTCCCCTCGTGACGCTGCACCCGGAGCTGCTGCTGCTGCTGCTGCTGCTGCTGCTGCTGCTGCTGGGTGTTTGTTGTCGCGACGGTGTGTTATGCCGTTCGTCCGCTTGGTGCCCCTGGCACTGTTGCTTCCCTTCTTCCAGCTGGCGGCCAGCCTCGAGAACATTGAAGCCGTCGATGCCGGAGAAGCAAGAGATACCCTGCCGTGGCGGTGGCTCTCGTTGTTGCGCTCTCCCTCGCCGGCTGCTGCTGTCTCAAATCCGGCCGTTGCTGCTGCTGGCACTGTCGATTTTCTCTGCCCCCCAGAGACATCGCCTTCTCCGTCCGTGCTCTCGCTCTCGCTCACGTAGCGCTCGTAGCCGGCCGTAGGTGTATCTGGAGCGTAGTCCATGGCTGGTTGGTTAGCTGTAACGGGCGCGGAGGTGCTGCTACTTGGCTATCACTCTGTGTTGGATGCACGTTCACGCTTTAAAAGTTCGAAATGAGGCCGTCGGAGCATCATGATATTCACGTACGTACGATAGATAGTCAACAGTCCCGCGGAGGCTCCGCGATTTCGTACAAATAGGGTAGGGGGTCCGAGCGGGCACATGCACACCACAGACCTCAGAGACGCAGCATCGCACCGGCCTGCATCACAGCGTGGAAATCACACCCTTGCTAGGGATACACGGACGAACGTAAGTCGAATTGTTTTGGGATCATGTAGGCGGTTGCTTGCAGGTGTCGTTCGCGAGGAGTCGCCTTCACTCTGCTTCGAGACGAGGCGATCGATGTCTCTCGCACACATGCAATACAACTTGAAGGGCAACAACGCAAAGCCCCCTTTTGCACCGGCCCACGCTACGCTGACAACCCACACTGCACTAAGCATCGGCACAACGATGTGAATGGTGGTGCCGTCATGCCATAGCCGTGGTTATTTGCTCGCCGGCCTATGTGCTTCAACGACGACCCAAAGCATCCTTGCATGCTTGCCTTTTTTTTTTGCACAAGCGGGCGGTCAAGCTCCATACACGTCTCCCAAGCACCGCAAGCAGCACCGTATGATATCAAGTTGGTTAGTGCAAACATATGCATACAGGTAGACAACAGCGTGCTCCCTTGTGGATCATGAGGGAATCACTCGATATCAATTACTGATTGCGACTTTCAGCTGTGTGTGTCAGCCAGCCGTGTAATGCTATGTCCGAAACAATTTGATGGAGCTCTGAACGTTGCAGTCGTGGTAATTCGTCGCGGTGGCAACGAACAACGTGCCGCATACTCCGGTATACCACAGCAGCACGGCGAAACTCCGTTGGTCTGCAGCAGTCTAGACTACAGTACATCGTGCTTGCTTGGTACAGCAGCGAGTGTTCTGGTAAACTTAGATGCGAACGGCCGGTCGCACCTGACAGAGGTTACGCGATCATCTGGAATCGGTGCAACGGCGCTGTTGCCCCTGCCTTTCCTTACTCCGCTGATTTCGGCCAGTCCCGCCTTACAGGCACTTCTCTCTAGCGCTGCTGCAGCTTCACGACACAGGCCGTATGCAAGCAAGCATCGCTTCGAAGTCTATAAGTGGAGGTGGCTCCTCCTTGTCCCCTTGTTTTTGAATTCGTTGCACAAGTACACACATACCTAGCGCATATCATACTGTACAAGGAATGTTATCTCTATCTCTCCTGGCGATATCTGAGATGCTCCATGCGCCTCCCTTGATCAAGCAACACGCCCTCAAGCCCACGCGCGGGGTATCAACGTCGTATGATATGATACCGCTCGGCTGCTCTCATAATTGGCAGCACGGCATTGACACCAGCGGAGCAATGGCCTCATTGGAAAGCTTGCTGGCGGCCGGAGCGGCGCCGCCTGCAGAGGGGGGAAAGGTTGCCTACGAGCATCCTTTGGTCCAACGGTGAGAGGTGATAGCAAATGTTCACGACGTGAAAACACGATATGGTTGGCACCATGAATTGAGTCTTGACCAACGCATCGTAGCACCATCGACTGGCCGATTGTGCTTGTACGTATGCGTGAAACATTTGACGCAAGTAATTTTGGTAGGTCCCTGGCATGCTTTCCCACGGTGGGACGGGGCACACGCGGCTTTCACTGGCAGTGCACCAAGCGCAAAGCGCCGCGAAGTGGTTGGCGATTCGCGCGCTTGATGGTGAGCTGCACCCGGAGAATACCTTGTGAGACGCGCGTGTGGGCAACTTTTGTTTTTGAGGTCGGCGGTGGGCTTCGAATCGCGTGATTGCTTGGTGGTTGGACAACAAATAGACCACGATATTGGTGGCCTTGCCCCGCGGATCCCTGACAAAACGCACTCTTCGTGATGAACCTCGGAGTGCGCGTGGACATCTCACGTCGGATGTGCACGCATCAACAACAGGTATGCATCAAAGGAGATGAGTTTCGTATGGTCGCCGGTCAAGAAGTTCCGCACGTGGCGGCTGCTATGGATTGCTCTCGCCACGGCCGAGAAGGAACTGGGTGAGTGCGTTGCACGTTTTTGATGCAGTTGACTGTCACAACGTATGGGGCACAATATTGTGCTAACCAAAACAGTCGAGAGACACGAGCGTGATGATGTCCTAGAGGAACGGTGTGTTCCGCCTATGACATCGAGTGTTTTTGAGTGCAACTTTTTTTTGTGCATAGTTCACCATACGCTGGACCTGTCCAGACACGATTGACTAATCTGTTTTTAGGAAGTGATACGGTGCGTCACGTGCCCATTCGATTTGCGATCGTATGCGTATTGTGCGTTTCATCAGGGCTGGACATCACGGACGAGCAGCTTGAGGAGATGCGTTCCCAGGTCGACAACATTGACTGGGACTACGCCGCTAAGAAGGAAGCCGAGTTCAGGCACGACGTCATGGGCCACGTCCATGCCTTCGGCCACGTTTGCCCCAAGGTTGGCCCGGTTGTTTTTCCACACCAATCCGGACCAGCCAACGTTCCTGGTAGCCCTCGCCCTTGTGATGCACCTTCATCCAGTTTAACGCCTAAAACTTCCGTTTTTTTTTTTCTAGTGGACGCTGGGCCTTTTTTGTGAAAGTTTTTGTTTGGTGTCTCGTAGAATACAAATTCCACGATCTTCCCACTCGAGGGTCGCATTCATGATACGTCCATGCGATTTACGTATGCTTCCCGGTTTTAGTCGACCCCAGTCAGCCAAGACCATCCCCGTGTTGGTGAGGCGGTGTCCCCCTGGCAAGAATTGAGCAGCGTTTTCCATGCCTGACGTCTATCTTTTCGTGTGGGGAAGATTCAAATCCACCTCTGTCCCGTGCTGTTCGGCAGACGACTCGTGTGTCGCAATTTTCTTTAAAAATGGGTGGTCGAGATGGCGTCTGGCACTTGAGCAAACCTGGCGCACAACCGCGTAGAACTAACTCGCGAGAGTACTGTGCTTTCCTCACTCCTGTTCCTGCTGTCGGGTCTTTCGTCTGTGCTCGTCCTCTCCCGCATGTTGTGCTGCAGGCCATGCCGATCATCCACCTGGGAGCGACGTCGTGCTTCGTCGGAGACAACACTGACATTGTTCAGATCCGCGACGCTCTCCTCCTGCTCCGGCGCAAGCTCGTGAAGTTTTTGGGCGTGATGAAGGCCTTCGCTGCCGAGCACCGCGCCCTGCCCACCCTCGGGTTCACTCACTACCAGCCGGCACAGCTCACCACCGTGGGGAAGCGCGCCACGCTTTGGATGCAGGTACTCTTAACCGCACCCAAAAAGTATTTCTTTCCCAATGCCACAATATTTTGCTGTGAACGGTGTTTTTGGTGTGGATACGCATGCCCTAATATTGGCGGGTTGGGCGAAGGTTTGGTTTTCTGCATCGAAGGAGAGGTTGGAAAATCACTTGGAGGTGTTTGAAGGTGGTCGCTGGTGTCGAGGTTTCATCGGCACGATGCGGACAAGAAACGCAGAATGTATTGGTGCAGATCGGCAAGAGGGGTCCAGCTAGGGTACAGATAGACGTGGTCCCTGCAACAACAGTCTTGTGTGTGGGATCTCGACCACGACGTACTACTGTCGAAATGCTTGCCACTAACCGCACGTACACTGCTGCTTTTAGCTGTTCTCCCGCACTCCCTTGTTCTTGTTTTGTCTTCCCGCCTTCTTCTCGTTTAGGACTTCGTCCTGGATGTGGCCGCCTTGGAACGGTGCATCGAGGATCTGCCGATGAGGGGTGTCAAGGGGACCACAGGCACGCAGGCCACCTTCCTCCAGCTCTTTGACGGTGACCACGACAAGGTGATCCCTGCAGCCGTAGCACTAGCGCGTACCGGAAGTCGCATCTATTGGGACCTAGTGTAACAGTAATGCCCGTGGGATGTACTGGTAGTGTTTGCCTGTCGGCAGGTCTTGGACGTGCGACCATAACCTGCGGTAGTTTTTGTCGTCGCTCAGCCGTAGTATAGGGGCGTGAAGCGCTGGCCAGCGGCTCAAAGTGCGAGCACGTTGATGGCGGTATTCCTTTTTTTTGTGTGTGATGTATTGTACAAGTGCTTGTTTTCGATGCGCTTTCTTTCAGCTTCTCGGCGGCCGTCGTAGGCAACTAGGTTTAGGTCACGTTGGCATCACAATTTGTGGACTTGCACGTCTGCGCGGCGTGCAGTGCCACAGTATTTCGATCACAGCGGCGTCTGTGCCACGAAGTCGAACGGCCTCGTCTGCGATGTCGGCACGGCAGCCTTGGAGTCGTTTCCTCTCTCCGTTTTTTTATGCATATGAAATCCTTTTTTGGTGCCGACAAAAGTGAGATGTTGCAATATCCCAACAAGCACAACGAACGCCCGACTCTTAGGTCGTGCATTTTTGTCCTCGGTTGCGTTCGTTCATCAGGTGAAGACTCTGAACCGGCGAGTGGTAGAGCTGATGGGCTTCGACAAGTGGATCCCGGTCAGCGGGCAGACGTACAGCCGCAAGATAGACTACCAGGTGAACCAGGTCGCAGTCCGTGTTTGATGTCATACGTGTTCTACGTTGCATTCGAACCATGCACGAACGTTCGTGCCGTCAAATTTGCAGTCGCCTATGTATGTAAACTTTCAGCAACACTTCGACCTGGTTCATTGAACCTTGGCGGGGAGTGAAGGTCGTGGTTTTCGCTGCGACTCCGGCAGCGAAACACGGCTGTGCGTACAGCAATACCCTCCACACTGCGTTGAGCTATGTCACGCTCCTATGAATTCGGCAAGACGCCAACCTTTTCTGTGCCATCCTATCTGAAAAATTGTGGCTGCGGGTGCCGAACACGATTGGCAGGTGTTGACGGTGCTGAGCGGCGTCGCGCAGTCGGCGTACAAGATGTGCGGCGACGTTCGACTCCTTGCCAACCTGAAGGAGGTCGAAGAGCCTTTTGCCAAGACGCAGGTTTGTGGACGGGTGACACGCTTTGGTTTGTGGTTCGCGTGGGAAGTTGGTGTTGGTGTGGACGGGGTTTCCTCTTTGTTGGAAGCGATTCATGGTTCGCTTGGTGGGGCTGCCTGGGCTTTCGAACACCGGTCGCTTGACAGCTTCTTGACCGGCGGTTGTAAAGAATCTTTCATCAAATCGAAGAATCGTTCCATCGCACTAGTATCAGGGTCGTTGCTGATTCGAAGCGTGCGCTTGACGTGCTTGGTCCTGTTGAGTTTTGGGTCAGCTCAACGGGTTCATTTGAGTCTTCTCTAACGTGTCCGGGTAGTCGATGGGTAGATCTTCCCACGCCGCTCAACTTCAAGAGAAGCTTGAATGTTTTGGTTTCCTTCTTGGATTCGATGATCCATGGCGTTTGCTTGGTTCCATCCGGTTTCATAACTCTGTTCAGATCGGGTCGAGTGCGATGGCATACAAGCGCAACCCGATGCGCTGCGAACGCACGTGCTCCTTGGCGCGATATCTCATGGGACTGCCCGCGATGGCGGCGCAGACACACGCATCTCAGTGGTTCGAGCGCACCCTCGACGACAGCGCCATTCGCCGGGTGAGTCAAGAAGGGGTTATGCAATCGGGCAAGTCGATACATTGCAGTGGCAGGCCAGGTGAACAGCACGTACCAGACCAATCCGTCGGGCCAAGCAGCGTCGATTTATAATTTCGAATGAGCATACCAGATAGGCTGGACTTGGTCGTTTTGTCGCCCCGTCTCAGCAGAGTGACTCTATCTGTTCAGCTTGCTACTACTATAGTAGAGGAGAAAATTGAAGCCAACAAATTGCGTGTTTGCAAGAGAAAAAATAGCGCTTGCCAAGGCCGCGGCCCGCGAGAATATCCCTGATTATTTCGTGGGGCACTCATGGTCGTGTCCGTGCCTTGTGGCGAGCAACCCTCCGTCGCCTGCCAGAGCACGCATCACGACAGCGTTTGCAATACAGCTCGTCGCCTGTCATGCGCCTCGTCAGATAGACTGTGGTGTGACCTTTCGCGTTGTTTGCGTTGCTTTCCTTGCCAATTTGGAGCCTGAAGCGTTCTTTCCCGCATTGAATACACGTTGGCGGTGCACGACGACAATCAATCACTGCTTTGCGCCGTGGCCTCCGACAGATGTATCTGCCGGAGGGGTTTCTATCTGCCGACGTCATAGTCACCCTGCTGACCAACATCGCAGATGGCATGCACGTGTGGCCTGGGGTTGTGCGAGCTCGAGTCATGTCCGAGCTACCCTTCATGGCCACCGAGAACATTCTGATGGCCTGCGTCCAGGTATTTGCGCTTTTGGAGTCCCACCACTCTCACTGAGTGAAGCTGGCGACTCAAAGGTGGACGTGGTGGGACGATATCATTAGAGGGATCCATGCCACATCCATGTCTGAGTTCTCCCCTCTTTTGACCGCAAGCCCTCCCATGGTTTGGTTGGTGGTAAATTCGATGGGTCACTCCTGTAGCGAATTGAATCATCTGGCGGAGGAACACCACAGCAGTCAATGATCGAAATATCGAAACGTTGCGTGCCGGACCCGGAGATCAAAGGGCAAAACCTTAGCATCCCACCGACGTCCATGCCCCGTTCAATGGAGAATCGCACCAGCAGCACGACGATGTGAGAAAGACAGCACGCTTTCCCTCCGATGTTGCAACAACCACAGCACTTTATTTCTTTACACTGGGAACCAACAATCCTTCCACGCTGGCGACTTCGCGACACCAGGCCGGCGGGGACAGGCAGGACTTACACGAGAAGATCCGCGTGCATTCGATGGCGGCGGGCATGGCGGTCAAGGGGGAAGGTAAGCCGAACGACCTGATGGACCGAGTCGCTGGAGACCCAGCTTTCGAGGCGGTGCACGGGGACAAGCTGGCGTCTCTAATCGACCCTTCTCTCTTCATCGGCAGAAGCCCAGAACAGGTCTGTGCATATTCAGTTTGTCTCGCCGTTCCAGCGTAGCACTTGGGACGTGTTTTGCCTGTCATGATGGATGTTCGGTTGCTCGGGTTTGTGCCTTGTGAACCTGCTGCTGTCGCGCTTTTGTGCATTAGACTAGGTGGCGGGGCAATCACGTGATCCTGTATCTTTTTCGATAACATTGCAGGTGGACGAGTTCCTGGCGGAGTGCGTGGATCCCATCCTCGACAAGCATCAGGCATTGCTAAAAGAGGAGAACGCCGACGATGTCAACGTTTAAGACGAGGTCCTACCCCGTGTTTGCAGAGTTAAGGGCACGAGTTTTCTTCACACGATCGAGGCTGCTACGTCGGGAAAGCGTTCTAGTTGCCCCTTGTGCTGGCGGTATGAGTTGGTGAAGGAAGAGGGAATGCGGACGGCCACGGACGCACCCTGGCGTATCTTGTGGCATGTTCCAGCCGACCTCATAAAGTTTCCGTACAATGATGGAGATAACTGCGCCCGTTCATCTCGTCTCTGTAGTGAAGCCAGGAAGGAGATCTACACTCACATTTTGTGTTGACCTATTTCAATCCAACAACGGCAGTCGTGGTGTCCATGGGCTCCGATGCTCAGGTCCTCTCCGAGCCAGAGAAGAGAACCTTCTGACTTGTCGTTTCCCAGCCGCTTCGGCCTCCATCCGGATGTGATCAATCATGTAATGGTCTCTGGTTTGATTGAGTGCCACTCCGCAGGGAAGGTAGCGTAGCCGACAGCGGGTCACATTGTTCGGCAATTCGAGAAAATCGCAATACCAAGCCAAGATTCACACCCAGGTGCAGTATTTGCCGGGGTAAACGCAGATGATCTGCGAATAGGATAATTTCAAGGCCTGGTCTTCATACGTAAGCCGTCACGTTTGGCAAGAACGTGCCAACGAAGTTGTAGAAGGCACCCCGATAAGCCTTGGTAGTCACATCCAGCAGCGACGGTGGGCAGCCATAGTTTGGAGAAGAGAGGCAGGTATTAGGTACGTGCTCGTCGACGCGCTTTGTCGGCAGTGCAGAACAATGAAGAGTGTCAGTGTACCCTTGCAGCTGAACGGTTGTCCGAGTCATTCCGAAGGTCACCAGGTCCGGTGCTGCGGTTGAGTGTTGCATGCTCAGCGCACGGTGTGGCTGCGTTTGTTTTGCCATGCGCAATGTGTCGTCATCCCTGGGAATGTTTTCGCTTTGTGCCCTCCTGTCGTACGGAGCTTTGTTTAATGCAAACCCATCTCGTGTGCCGCATGCTATTGATTCGTTCAAAGGACATGGTGCTACAACACAGCCTAAGGGCAGAACGGGCCCGCACTAGCGAAACTACTAGTGAAGACTACAAAAGAGTACTTCTTCTACATGCTGCTGCTGATACTCTGATGCTGAAGGGTAGGCGTGAAGAAGCAGCCAGTACCGACAGACAGGCAGTAGGGATCGGCAAATAAGCGAAAAAAGCCGACGCTGCAGACAACAAGTCAAGTGGGTGCAATGGTGGCCATGACCACTTTATGAGTCTCGACGAATTCCGCAAGTAAGTACTTTGGCAAGAGCCTCGGCAATAAACCCGCGCGCCAACTGTTCGCGCAATACAGCACGGGCCCGGAGATAAGAAACGTCAAAATCGGGTCGAGGCTCAATCCCTTATATTGCGCCGAGAGACAGCCGAAGGCGCCCATTTTCTTACAAGGCATTTCTTACTCGTTTGGACTGTCGCATCCTCCTGATTCTGGTATTTCTCGTTTCCTTTAATTTCTGGCTCAGAATATGCATACAACAACAACAAACATTCATGCATCAGTGGGTAAAGCAGCCCGCGGAGGCGCCGAGTAGTTAAATAGAGCGGAGGCGGGGGGGGCAGCGCCAACAAACACTCTCCTCCACTTGAAAAGAAAACGTTGTCCCGCTAGGTACCGGGGGGCTGGGAGCACGGAAAGAGCAGCAGTGGAACGTTTCTTATTGGAAACGCTCCCCCAGCAACCCTTGTTTCTCATGTGTTGGGGGTATCGCATGATCATGTTGTCATTGAGACGCTACTTATTTTGTGGCCGAGATTGAGCTGTCTTTCTTAGTCCTTTTATCTTATATTTCGTAATATGTTGAGCCGTTTAATTCTGAACGAATTTTTTCTTATTGCGGGCCCGTACTGGTGTACAAGTCTTGTGCCGTTTGATTTCGAGAACACTTCGTTCGTCGTAGCCAACAACGCACGCACGCACGCTTGAAGGAAACCGGACCTCGCATTGGAAGGGCAAATTATTTCATACACTACTTGACGGACACGTGGCCATTCCTTTCCATGGAGCTTTCCTGGGTGGTCGTCTCCTACAATAGAAGTGGTGAACCGTGAACCTCAAAAAGCAGCAACGAAACGCCAACCATTTCTATTGACACATCCGTATGGCCGGACGTCCGCATGCATACTACCGGACAATATTGTTCAATATGGACAATTTCGCTGTTTTTGCTCGTTGCAAAGGCGGCGACAACACCATGGCAAGTTTGACCTGGGTCCTCCCAACCTCTCGGAATATCAAGTGCCTTGCGAGCACGAGAATTCACCCTAGATTCCCATCGGAAAAAAGGATAAACACGGAACACCAACAGCTCTACACCGCCACTCGTCCACCGCAAAGAAACACACGGACATGGCCATGCACTTCCAACGAGAATACATAGCCTACGCACGAATCTCCGCGAAAGAGCCTGCGCCCAAGCCATGCACATAAATTCGAACCAGACAACAAGACAACATATACACAAGCGACGGGCGTTGTACGACATTCTTTTGTAATGGGGACCATTCGCGACAAGAATGATCAAACGCAACAACAACAATGATCCCCCCATTTTTCGTTTTGTTGTTAATTTGGATGGGCCTTCTCAAACGTGATTTCAGTACTGCGTTACTCATCCTGTGCATGAACTACCAATGTAGCACATGGAATTCCGTTTACTTCTTCGCAGCACATTGGTTTCACTGTTTGTTGGCCGAGCGCACAGGCAACAAGCAAAGGCTACCTGCACCTGAATTCGCCTCACATTTCCCCTACAGTACTGCACTTCTATTTGAAACCATGAAGGTGCGCTTGTTCCTTACGCCACCCATACTCACTCCCTTGACCCCCATGCAGGCGAACACAACGCCATGTGCCTGTCATGGAAGTGTGAAATTTGTAGGCGTTCTTTCACCCTCTTCGAGCATAGTTGCATGAATCCTCCCTTCCTCGCGCTTGCACACATGTTGGCCACAAGCTGGTGATGAATGCAGAAATTCAAAACATAGAATCGGGAACCTGCGAGGGAGGGAGAGAGATCGACTTGCTCGTTAGAAAGAAGATGGCTATGGCCCGGGGATCGACGGCGCCGCATTGCCGTCTCCGAACATGTATACATAGTCTATGTCCATCATCGGTCACAGTCCAATTGAGGGTCGACACAGGATATCGTCCAATCGCTCGTGACCCGGGTGAAACGTCCTGCGTGGTGACAGAAAAATGTGTACACATACCATAAACATGGAGCAGGTTGGCCGAAAGAGAGCGACATTTCTGTCGAGGAAAAATCCCTCCTCAGATACACACACACGTTCGGCTTAACAGCAACATTACTTTCGTACCACTAGAGTACAGATATTATTCTTTCTCGTAATGGCGGGTCATGGACCGCACGAGGAGCTTCTGTAGCTGGCCCTGCTCGTTTGCCGTTCGTTGCAGCGATGCTTTGTGGAACGAACGTTGTTTGGTGGTTATTTCAATGAGTTCTACGCTTAGGGGAAGCACCATGCGCTCTGTACTACAGCAGTTGTCGGTCGATACTACAGAACGGGCCTGCAGCTAAAAAGAGAAACCCGTGAAGAAAGCTCAAACGTTTACGAAAAATATGAAAAAAGAGCCAAGAGACACAGCTCAATCTCGGCCACACCTACCTGAAGAACGTCCCAATACGAAACATGATCGTGCGATACCCCCAAGACACACAAGAAACAAGGACGCGTCGACTAAGAAACGTCCCACTGCTGCTGCTGCCACAGATAGTTCCCACCCTTACCTACGTAAGGTTGCGAGTCAGCGCACAGGGGTGCGAGCTATTTTCAAAGCGTAGTTTATCCACAAGCAGGAGGATACCACTATCGACAAGGGCGGTTTGGAAACACCTCATCGAGAGCTTTCTTGACAAGTATCAGTTGGCGCTCGCACCCTTCTGGTTGTGAAGAAGTTACCCTTTGAAAATCGCTCGCACCCCTGTGCGCTGACTCGATACCTTACGGTGCTCATGTAATTATTTGGAAGGGGAGAGAGTGGTTATCTTCGCGGCGCCCCCCGCGCCCCAGCGCCGCCGCGGGCTGCGCTACCCACTGCTGCTGTACTGCTGTACTGCCACAATCCCAATGTTTGCCAATAATAAGAAAATAATAGTAAGATAATCAGCAGGATGCGAAAGCCTCAAGGAATATCCGTTTTAAGAAATTGGCCGACTTCGGGTGGTCCTTCTGCCCAAAATACGAAATTGAGGCTCGACCCGAATTCGACGTTTTTTATCTTCGGGCCCGTCTGTATCGTACTACTGCTGCTGTACCGAGTTTCTCGCGTTTACCGACTTTCTTTCTCGTGTTGTGCGAGGAGGCCCGTGCCGCCCTACGTGAGCATCTATGAAACTGGGTCACACAGGGACTCCCCTGCTGTGCACCCCTTAGAGATTTGCTACAGAGTCTCGAAACCACTTGTATGTATGTGCATCAGGTTACACCTGCCTGGGAAAATGATTCACCATGGATGGGTTGCGGTCGGGTCAGGTACGCAAACAAACAGGCAGTGCACCTGAAACGATAGTCAAGTCTTCAGCGCTGATACTTGGTCGGCAATGCCAGTTTTTGCCGCAAGAAGCTGTTTCACCCGGGCGAGCAGTTCGGCATCTTCCGTTTGCCGCACCTCCTTCGCGCTCTCTGTCCCATCGCCAGCTTCTCCACTGCTGTCGTTGAGAATCGCTATGACCCCGCGGAGGAATGCGGGGCCCTCTTTTCTGGCCAGGCCGAGCCTCTCAGGACATTGTTCGTACTTGGTAATCACGGCCGTCAGGTCCTTTAGAAATACAAGAGCATAGTGAGGTGTAATAGAAAGCAAGAGAAGTTAGTGGAGGTGTTGAGGTAAGGAATGACACAGGTGATCGATAAAGGCTGACCATTTGACTACTACATGCACAGTCATCACATGCACAGTCATCGATGACTGTGCATGTAGTCAAATGGTCAGCCTTGATCAAATAAAAAATACACTCTCGGCTCGTAACCAATCCCAGTGGATCTGATAGGATGTTGTGACCTCCGGGGACGGACCCCTCGCCACAAGATGCTGCTATTAGCCGATAATGGTGCCTTGAAAGTGATCCACTGGGGAACCTGTGTGTGGATGCTTTATTCGATAGAAGCTGACCATTTGACTACGTGCACAGACATCGGATGACTGTGCATGCAGTCAAATGGTCAGCCTTTATCGAATAAAAGATACACTCTCGGCTCGTAACCAATCCCAGTGGATCTGATAGGGTGAAGTGATCTCCGGGGACGGACCCCTCGCCACAAGATGCTGCTATTAGCCGAAAATGGTGCCTTGGAAGCGATCCACTGGGATTCGAACCCGTGCGTGAGTCCTATATTCGATGAAGGCTGACCATTTATTTGACTACAGTCGAGGTCCCTGTTTAAGGCCGCTTATTTAAGGCCGGTTGCCCTGTTTAAGGCCGGTGAAATCCCTTGGCACCGATTTCGACTTGTTTAAGGCCACCACCGGCCTTAAACAGGGAGGTCCCTGTATAAGGCCGCTTTGGGCCTCTTCTCACACTCAATAAGGCCGGTTGTGACGCACACAGGCTCATTCAGCCACCTGTTGCAGTCCTACGTGCAGCATCCAGACCCCCACCTTCGCACGCACGACAGAAAAACACCTTCCGCACCCCTACCACGCAACCACATGTTCAAATACAGCGCATACTGCTGTAGGATACATATGGGCAGTAAGAACATAATAATATATTCATCTGTAGGTTGCTGTACGTATGTCACGTACGTGCTGAGTAATCGTAAGTGCGGAGTAATTGATACCGGTTGGATATGTAACGTAAAACATGATGAGAAGTTCGGAACATGCTTTCCAGCGAGGAGTCTAAGCGAAGGGTTTATGCGTACAGTACTACAGTCAGTATTTATGCGAGGAGAAGTTCAGGAATAATTTGGGGTTGGCAAAGTGATGCCCACATCGCCCACTCCC